GGCAGACTTTGGCTGGCTAGAAGGAATTGGGTCAGGAGGGATCACTGGGTCAGGAGAAAAAACTGTCCTGAACTAAAACCCTGCAGAGTAAGATGTTTGCAATGAAACCTCAAGTCTGTGGTTAATTTGCTGGGGAAATCAGGTCCTTTAGGTGAGCAAAAACTAATTAATTAAAAGGCACCCGGACATTAAGATTTATTGAAGTGGGAGTGACCTCTCACCCTGGTCTGTGTACTTGGGAAGGGTCTGTACACTTTGCATCAGCATCCAAATCCCTGAGTTGGGAACCATTTTTGTAAACTGCGCATGTTTTCCTTTTCCCAGCCAAGTCCAAGGTCACCCTCCTTTAGGTAGACACGATGACGATGGTGATCTATCTCCGTGAGAAGGAAGACAAAGAGGCAGACACCTTAACAGCGATCGGTCTCCCTGGGCCACCTCATTAGCAGACTCATCTCCCTGTCGAACTTGGCCGGTCCACGTGGAAGGGGGTGGGGGAGGTGTCAGGGCGTATCTCTTGTGTAAAATGTGTGTCACTGTTGTGCTGAGATTTTTTATTCCGGTTGTTACAGCTTCAACCTGTGTCGCCCATTTTAAAGGCATGTCTGAGATGCAAAGTTTTTAGCAAATGAAAGCGACACTGAGCCGAGAGCCAGGCAACTGAAACACAGCAGCCGCCTTCACGAGTCTGCTGCTCTGGGACCACTCACTTGTGCTCCGAGCCAGGAGCGCTGCCCCAGGGGGCCCACTCTCAGAGCACCCACTAAGGAGCGGACAAAACGAACGTCCACGCGGTGTGTTTGCACTTCCCCAGGGACCCGGATCAGGGCCTCCGCCCAGGTGCAGTCGGACAGGACTCGGGGCGCACGCAGTCTCCCCTGAGCCCGGGACCCGCTGTGCCCCCCCTACAGGCTCAGTGCCGACGCCAGGGTGGGAGCCTGGGGGTTGCCCTGGTGGGAGGGGGTCTCCGCCGCCACCCTGTTTGTATCAAGACTTCCTCCCACTAAACAGAATTTCGTTGGGCAGATTTCTCTACTTCTGGGTTTCAGCCGTAGACAATAAAAACCAGATACTCAACAGAAAAGAACTCACGGGCCTGGGCCACGCCCGGGAGGCGTCCAGGTGCGCCTTTCCGTGGGTCCGGCCTGGTGGGAGGGTCTGGTGGCAAACTGCTGGCTGTGGGAGACTGAGGGCAAGGCCCCGCCCGAGGGGGCCCCTCCTGTGGGAATGTTCACCCCACACCCCATCGTGGCCATCCAGGGTCTTCCTCTCCAAAAGTGACTGCTGGTCTTTGGAGGGAAAACAGATCCTTTGGTCACAAACCTCCCAGGACACAGGATCCTCGTGAGTAATCCCCATGTCGAGGCGGTCCGTTCGTAAAAACAACCCCCTGCCTTACTGCTGGGTAGGTGGTCCATCCGCTGTTGAAGGCGCTGCTGTCCTTGGACTCTCGCTCAAGCCAGCTTGGGGACAGGCACCTGGGGCTGGCGATGGCTGGAGAAGGGCCGGCTTGCTCCCCCTCCCGCCCCCTCCCGCACAACCCCACACACCAGGCACCTCGAGTCCCCGGCAGCCAGGATACTGCAGGTGGCCCCCAAACCTGAACTCCAGCCACGGTGGCTGTCACTGGGCCATACGTGCCCCTCTGCTCTGGGCGTGCCTTCAGCTCGGCCACTTCTAAAAGCCCTAATGTAACCTCACACTTGCAGCGAGAGACCAGGAATCTTTCTGGGAATCGACACGCAAGTTCTGATACTTGGCACTTGTTTCTGTTCCACTTTCCCTCCAGACTTTGGTCACTCAGCACACGGGTCGCACACGTCACTTTGAATTTCACGTCATTCTGCTGTACAGACTGTATGTAGAGACTGGGCATGTACACGCACATCTGTAATCTGCTCAGTGTAGGATGAACCCCCCATACACTGTACATACACACTTTGCCCTCCCGAAAAGCTGAAAAGTAGCGACTTAAAAAGCACAGTGCATTCCATCATTTTCAAGCTTAGGAAAAGTTACAGCAATAAAACCAAGACATTTTATTTTTATATATTTGGGTCTTTTATGTCTTTTAAAGTTCCTCAGTCTAATTTTAAACTGGAACGTGACTTCAAAATGGCAAATTATAAACAACCCTGTCATGTGTCTTGATGTTTGTAAACACATCCGACCCCACAGCTCCAGAAATGGGGCTGGGGGAGGATCACAGAACACTCGCTCCGCTCTAGGCACACCCTTTGGAGTGACAGCAGAGACAAGAAGTTTTGTTTGCTCCTAAGTACTGAAATCGATACGATAACGGCTTTTATTCATAATCATTTGTAAATTATCACTTCGGAGTGGAGACCTAAACCTCACTCCAGCTTGAGACTATCCGTAATAGCTCCAAACTTCCCAGAATAAGTCTTTCTAAATATTATTTTTGCTCGGTGTTAAGAGTAACTAAGATAACTTCTCTGGATGACTTACACAGCTTTAACTTTAACCTCAAAGATTCCATTATTCCCATGGTGATGAATGAGAGTCGGCAGTGGGCGGGGTGAGAGGGAGAAATCACGAGCTTCTGTATCTAGGTTCTTCTAGACGGGGTCCAAAACCACGCAAGTCACGCTCTTTAAATGGCAGGGGGAGGGAAGAGGGAAGGAATTTCCGTCTTTCAGCGAGAACACAGCCACTAACGAGCCTGCACCCGCCGCCCCCGCCGGCCGGCGGAGGGTTAACGGAGGCGGCTGAAGTCCGCAGAGAGTTCACAGGGCTGCCCCGGAGGGGACTTGCCTGGGCTGCCCCGATTCTCACGGAGTAGGGGGAGTAGGGGGAGGAGGAGGAGGAGGAGGAGGAGCACGAGGAGCAAAGGCCTCCACGACCAGACTGGACGAAGCCTGGGAGCTCCAGCAGGTGTCGGGCTTCCTGCCCAACAGCCACGGGAGAACCAGGGGGGGCCCAGGCCCCTGGCGCAGGGAGATGGGAAACGCGTGGGCGTGGGGGCGGGGTCCATGGCCCGCTGGCCCTGGACGCTTACAGCTCCGCTGCGAGCCCTGAGGCCCTGCACACGGCCGGCGACACAGTGCGCAGAGCGTGCCCACACTGACGACCCTGAGCCGAGAGAGAGGCGCCGTGGTCGGGCCCGCGGACAGGGCTCCACTGCCCTTTGTGACTGACTGCTAATCACTGAGTTTAATAGAAAGTGTTTAAGTTACAACTATGTGATAAAGAAGTAAAGACAGGGCTCCCATCCCCATCTTACATTTTAAGTAAAATGGGACCGCGAATGGGACTGCGGCCCCCATCCCTGGATGGTTACAAAACACGGAGAAGAAATAAGGCAGAGTCTAAGTGCCCCACGTGATGCAAACAACAACGTCAGAAGCTCAGCTTAATGAGCCCTGGCCGGGCGGCTCGATGGTCAGGAGCGTCGTCTTGGGCCCCAGAGGCTGCGGGTTTCAGCCCCGGTTGGGGCGCCACCCAGAGGCAACCAACACATGTTCCTCTTTCGCATGGACACTTCTCTCTCTCCCTTCCTTTCTCTCTCAAATCAATAAATATACTCCCGAGTGAGGGTAAAAAAATTATAATACATGATTGCATGGAAGCAGCGCAAGCGTCCACCAACACCTGAGCAGATAAAAGGTGGCCCGTCCAGACGATGGCACATACGTGGCCACAAAAACAACTGGAATATCACATCGGCAGCAGCGCGGACGGGCCTCCGGGGTGTGTCGCCAAGTGCAGTTAAGTCCAGCAAAGACAAGGACCACGCGATTTCACGGACACGTGGGACAAGAGGAACGAGCTCAGGACACAGAAACAGTCCCAAAACAGCCCTCTGCCCGGCGGTGGGTGAGGCGGGGGTTGTTAGGGCTGGGGCTGAGCAGCACCGACTGGACCTTCTCTGCAGACCTGCCCCGGGACCTGAGGTCCAGCGCAGGGAACACGGGCAGCGACGCTGTGATAGCCATACCGTCTCAGGTGGGAACTGGACGGGGGATCCCTCTGTGATAATATAAATGTCTGATCACTATGCTGTACATGGAAACTAGCAGAAAACAATACTGAGCGTCAACTGTAATTAGAAGAAAACACAGCTTAATTAATCCTTCAACAGCCCTCTGACCAATCAGAAACAGTTTTATATAGGAGGACCCTGGAGGCCGGCAAAGGTGAGCAACTCACTTGGGGTCAAAGGCTGGAAGGAGGGAGCAGGGCCATCCTGCAGCCCACCGGCCTGCCTGCCCTCCGCCCTCCGTGTGCAGTGAGTCCCATCACCTGACAGCCAGCGAGCAGGGCACTGGACCGGAGGGGGTAAGGTCAGCTGCTCTGCTCTTGCTCATGTCACGGGGTGCCGGGGTGCCCACAGGCCCCGGGGCCTCAGGCGAGAGGGACCCGTCCCGACCGGCAGGTGACGTGATGGATGTGCTGGTGGGGGAGTGAAACTGATCCTCGAACTGATGAACTCCTGACAGATTCACACACAGGAGGAAAACGTTACTAGGTCTCCTGTGTGCTGAACTCAGTAAGAGGGCCGGGGGCTGCAGACTGTGGAGCTGAGGGGGACCTCACGGTTACGGGCGGAGTCCCCAGGTGTGCCTGCCCTGCGCACCGTCTTCCGAAGTCCACACTTTGAGGACTAAGTCTAGATGGTGGTGGAGACAAGGAAGCTTCTTAGAAGCAAATTCTTACTCCCTGCGAACAGGGGCGGAGCTCGGCTGGGCAGGAGGGAGTTAACGGGACAGCCCTGCGCCCTCCCCTGGCTGGCTCAGCGCAGACTCCCAGTTTGTCTGCTATGCACAAGGTTGCAAAGATGACCGATTCTGAGTTAAATAAAATCATGCTGTATTTCATTTCTTGTAGCTTATAAAGAGCCCAGCAAAATTTCAAACTCAGAGCAAGCCCTAGGTCCCCCCAGATTGGTCAATGGCGGGGAACGTGCTTGGGAGCGAGAGTTCCGCACCCGACTCACAGCTGCCCCTCTGGTGCGCGTGTGGGACGCGTGTGTGTTGCAGCTGGAGAGCTACATCCAGGACAGCATGAAGAAGGAGATGGTGGAGATGCAGCAGAATGCGGTGCAGAACCAGACCGCGGTGATGATCGAAATCGGGACGAACCTGCTGAACCAGACGGCGGAGCAGACGCGGAAGCTGACCGACGTGGAGGCCCAAGTAAGTGAGGAGACAGGAGACCTGCCGCGGCCAGGCCGGGTCCACAGTGACACGGAACCGGGGGGCCTGGTGACTAGAGGAAGACGGGGAAAGGAGAGGGCGGTTGGCTTAGCGGGAAAAGGGGGCATTGGTAAGAATTTAACACCTGTGACCGCTCAGTAAGTACGTTTGCGTTGTCAGAGCTGAGGTCACTCGAATCGTCTGCACAGCCTGTGCACTCGCGGCTGCACCCCCACCTCACTGGTGCCTTCTGGACTCTGGATACGAGGCAGAGGGCGGGAAACTCTGTCCTTCAGTCTGCCTTTCCAGTTAAGATAAACCCAAACCTCTGAGCACCTCTGAACCAGGGTGTGCTGTGAGTTCATCCAGTCCGTGGCGGGAGTTCACATGACTCGACCCGTGAGCCGTTACACTCACTGAAAACCTGAGGCAGGCGGACACGGTGGCAGGAAGCGGCACGCTGCACAGAGTGCCCGCTCGTGGCGGAGCGAGGGATGCTCTGGTGGCACTTGTGTCCCCTGGGCGAGGCCCCAGTGGTGCTGCCAGTGAGGGCGGCCACATTGCCGCTGGTGAAGTTCCCTTAGCTCTAAGGTTCTGTGAGCCAATGGTTCATGGCAGCCGAAAAGAGGGCCACAGAATAGCAAAATATAAAAGCAACTGGCAAAACACCAAGACAAGGCTCGCGGCATCGTCCTGCGGAATGACATGCTGGAGACCAAGAGGAGCAGGGAGCGGCGGGCAGGCGTCAGGGCGGTGCTCCCTGCGCAAGCGCCCTCCCTGGCAGTGCCTCGCCCCTGCTTCCTCCCAGGCCTGTGGAGCCACCGCCCTCCCGCTCTGCGCTCACATGGGGCTCCACGAGAGGGCAGGAGTTCTGGCCGGGCCCGGTCCCACGGCCCAGGGTTCTGGTTCGCTCCTTCGGCTAAGGGCACCAAGGAATGCCAGACTTGCGCCAGGAAAACCGCGTCACTTCCAGCTGTGCCAAGACCTTGTCCAGCAGGGGCAGGCGTCCCACTGCCGCCCTGAGAGCCGCTGGATGAGGCCGAGAAAACAGCAGTGAGGTGGTGGCCAGGCTGCTCTACTTACCAATAAAAATATTGTTAGCCAACGATATTTTTATCTGAGGACAGGGTTAAAAGCTATTTGCTTACCCGATCTTCCCATACCACTAGAACAGTTTAGCAACAGTATAAATGTTTTATGTGATGGATTACAAAGAGGTAATAAAAGCCAAGGATGAAAGTACATAAACTGCAGTCCAAAGATGCAATAAGAACTAAGAATGAAAATACACAAACGTTTAAAGGTGAAAGCGTCAGTGTGCCCACAGTCAATTATGGAGACAACTCAGGAGGGTCAGTCAGGTGGCACTGGCCACCTTCTGAGGGTGGAAGTGCTGGGCTGGCGGAAGCCGTCTCCTGCGTGTTCCGTGGCGGCGACGGAGAGCGGGGCTGGGGTCCAGGCCTTCGCGCACCCTGTCCGGGCCAGGCTTGCCGGCCCTCACAAGCTGTTTTCAGTTGGGTCCGAGAGCTTCGAAAACCCCGTGAAGCCGCACAACCCCGCGGTCCAGGACGACAGGCGCACTGGGTGACGGCTGGAGAGAAGCAGCCAGCTGCTGTGTCCACCGAGGGACTGAGGACGAGGACGAGCTCAGACGCAGGTCCGGCACCGCGCAGCCCCCTACTCAGGGCATTTGCGGAACGGTTGCTGTGTGAAATCGGTTTAGTGCGAACATGCAAGTTTCTGCACAAAGCAAGACTCTGCCAGCTTCTCACAGACTGTCACTCTGGACAGTGATGGACGGCTGGAGGCTGCCACGTGAGAGACCACGGGAATGTGGACCATCCCCTGTGGCGCGGGCCTGCTGAAGTGTGGGTCAGCACTGTGGGGGTCCTGCTTCGGTCCAGACCGACACGCCCCCTCCCCGCTCCCCACCAGCACTCCTGTTACAGCCGTTCCAAGTTAAAGGAGAGTCCCCACCTCCCAGCCCTGTCCGCAGTAAGTGGCGCAGCGAGTCGGGATGAGGCGTGTGGGGGCCCAGGGATGAAGGCCGCGTTCCCTGGCTGTCACGGGAAGCCCGCCCCCTTGGTGGCCAATGCTGTGACTCACTTGCACAGGAGCTCCCTGTGAGCGCGTGAGCGCATCCGGCTGCGGCTCTGCACCGGACTACTCTGCACGGCGGGGCCGGGCCAGCCCTTTGGTGAGTGACGCCCCCCCCCCAAGCAAACAATGCTTCTCGCAAGGACCCTGTCCCCGGGCAACAGCCTTGACCCGTGACTTCGGGAGACACCAGGGCCCAGAGGGTGTGAGGAATGGCTTCTAGCTACCGGAAGGCTGCCAATGTACAGGAATTCGCCCCCAGGTTGTGGGAGCGTACGGGGGCAGGGACAGGGACTGTGCGTGGCACAGGTCAAAACAGCTCCAAGGCCCAGCTCTTGTGCTGGACTGGCACGTCACTGTGTCCTGGCTGGACACGACTTTTAGAATCAGAAAAAGAAACAAAGAAAAAAGGCCACTGCAAGCGACCAGGAAACGTGGTCAAGGTCGCCTGCCAGCGGGAGTGTGCTGGGCACGGGCTGGGCCGCTCTCCACTTACCCAGCCATTTCCCGAACACTGATGTGACCACTCTGCACCCCCCCCCCCCGTCTCGCTGTGCAATGTGGCAACGCGTGGCAGGACAAGGAAAACGACGTTCCATTGTTTGACACAACTGCCACCGTCCAGACTACTGAACACTTTCCACAACAAAGACCTGGATGAAAGCCTTAAACAAACTGATAGGATCCAGGAAACCGAGTTTCCCGACGAGAAACACGCCGAAGTGAGAGAGCTGGGTAAACGCACAGGCCTCAGTTACGTTTCCTATGACTGAGATAGCTCGATGAAAAGGAAGTTCTATCTGATTTTAAAAAATGGTAAATAGGAATTTTGTTTTGTTGCACTTAGGTGTTAAATCAGACAACAAGACTCGAACTTCAGCTCCTGGAACATTCCCTCTCTACAAACAAACTGGAAAAACAGATTTTGGATCAGACCAGTGAAATAAACAAATTGCAAGATAAGAACAGGTAATAAAAGCACAAAACAATTTATAATCCAGAATTGCGCGCTTTCTGGGTACACGGGACTATTTTGTGTGACTATTAATTATATGCACTCTTCCAAATGCTGAGTTTCTTCATTTAAAATGTCACAGGGGTCAGGGACTCAGGGTGGGAGGGGCAATGGGGGGAGGGTGTGGAGGAAAACCCTGAACCACTGCGCATGCGGCTGGCACAGTCCTCAGTGTTGCTGTCCATCCCTGGGCCCTTAAAGACCCTCCCCCGCCCCTGAAACCCCACACACTCCGCCTCTGGGCGACCGAAAGACGTGGCCGCCAGTGTTTTGGGGAGACAGGGCCCGGCCTGGGCGTCGTCCTGTTAAGGTCACCAAGTTTCTCTGCTTCTGGAAAACTAGTTTTTTTCCCCCAATGGAACACAACCTACAGCAAGAAAGAAAGTTACACGGATATTGTAACCAAGGCATGCTCCATGATAAGATATTTAGTCTTAAAACATAATAAAGTAAGGTCAAAGATTAGATATGATTACATTAGTTTTTAAATACAGCAAAATGCCAAGTCAAAGCAATACGAAAACAAAAACTAGGGGTGACTGCGTCCCCCAGTTCCTTCCAGTGCGGGGCTCACGAGGACAGTCGCACCTGCACACCTGGGGTGCTGTTTTCTTGTTTCTAATCAAAATGTCCAGGCGACATGGAGGGCGGTCAGACAGCAGCAGACTTTCCACTTCGCGATGAAGTAATTTCAGTTAATTACTTCTTTGTTCTGAACCAAAAAATGATGATAAACTGACTGTCTTATCATCATTCTTTCCCACTAATCAAGAACTAAGCTGAAATACTTCTTTCTGTTCTTCGGGCAGCAAGCTTAACTCACTATCTTAGAATTTGAAAAAGCAAATTGATTTTTAATCCAAATGTATTTTTTTAACGTTTCAAGTTTTCTCTCCTGCAAAGGGGGAAACAGACGTTGGACACCCACGGCGGGCCACGCCGGTCCCTCTGCTGCGGTTTGCTGACCGGTCTGCCGCGACCACGCGCTCTTCAGCACAGCGCGGCCCCACCGGGCACGTGCAGGGGCTGGCTGACCGCGCCGGCCCTCGCCAGTCACGCCTGTGAGGGCGTGTCCGCTTTGCTGAACGCATCCTAGTATTGCACGCTGCTCCCTCCTGACGTTTTAGTTGGCTGTGCCATGAGGCCAGAGGTCTCGTGATGTCTGGAAAGGTCTGTCAGTTCAGACGGCCTCTGGCCTAGAGAAATAGCAGTCTCGTTCCCGAGTTCAGACACACTGCTTCCCACTTTCACTTCCACAAGCAAACTCTGCTACACGCAGTCAGCTTCGCTGCTTCCCAGGAGAGCCGGCAGCACCCACGCCACCCTCCGACCACCCGACTAGGCGCAGCGCCCCCGTGTGCGGCTCCACGCTGTGCGGGCGAGTCCTCCCGGACACGCTGCAGTGGGCTGTGTTTCCCCGTTACCCCCACTTCTGTGACCCTTCCATATTTTCACTCAAATGCCTCACACTTTCCCCAATTTACTAATCTGCATTGACCAGCAATGTATTTCTCCATTAACTCTCATCCAGTTTTGCAGGAAATGAAATTTAAACATCACCTGTCCTCCGTAAAACCGCCTTGTCAAATATATCTAACAAACTAAAATTTCCAGCGACTTGTAACTGCTTCACGGCCTACTCGGCAACTGTCTGCCTGCAGGCGCGGCTCACAGAGGCCGAGGGCTGGCAAACACCACACCCACCAAACCCGACCCTGCGGGAATGACACCCTTCTCCGCGGCCCCAGAACCATGTTCTCTTTGTGGTAGGCATGAAATGATAGAAGTGAGGCTTTTCCCACCAACACCTGTAAATAGGGAAAAACAAGGGAACTGCCGGTGACGGCGCGCCTCTCGGGAAGGGTGGCGCCCCTGTTTCCAGGCTCCTTCCACCTCTACTGAACTAAGATTCCATTTGCAAGACCATCATTGCAGACACGTGAGTGGACTGAACACAGCAGCCACCCCTTCAATCACCTTCCCCAGCCCCCTCAAGCGCAGTTGCCTCCTCCACAGACTGCGTCGGACGAGGTTGAAGTATTTACGAGGGTCGAGTTTCTGTGAAAACCGCCACCACTGTGCTTCCACGTTCACCTGCTGAAGCGGCACCTGACCATCAGTTTTTCACCTTATCAGTTTTTTTCCTTCTAAAACTAAATTAATTTAGGGGCTACCTGTACCAGTTCAATTAAGTGCTGATTACCAGCATCGTGATTATGCCTATTGGAAAGCGCTGGCCCGGCAATAAAAACTCAAACAGAACATGAATCAGCCTGGGTATTTCTGCTGAAATATTCCCCTGCGTGTCCCAGCTGACTCTGAATTATGTTAATACAAAATTACACTGTACCTAAGTCCCACTTTTATGATCAAATCGATCATCGTGCATCAGAAAATCAAATACTAACGAGCAGGCTTCCAGCAAGACTAGCCTTCCCTGGGCTGCCCACCCACCCATCCCCCGGCACCTCGCACCAGGTGCCGTGCTATCTGTTGCAACATCACAAGTTCTTGCTGTGGAATCACACGCTATTCTCATCTGTTTCATCCCACTTACACTTGACCTTTGAACAACACGGGGGTTAGAGACATCAAACCCCCTTGCAGTCAAAAAATCCCCATGTAATATTTGACTCCCCAAAACTTAACCACCCTCTGAGTCCACAAGGGATCAGTCCCAGGAGCCCACGCCCCGCCAGGTACCGAAATCCGTGGACACTAGTGCCATAGACACAATGACATACGGATGCACACAGCCAGCCCTCCGCATCCTCATTCAAACAGACAGAAAACGGTGCAGGTGCTCACTGGAAAAAATCCCCCCTAGGCGGACCCACAGTTCAAATCCATGTCGTTCAAGGGCCAACTGTATTTAATTTCCTTTCATTAAAAACACGTCGACTGAGACTCACTGAACCGGCTTCACAACCAGTGAGGCGTCCCGACCCGTGTTTTGCGAACCGTTGCTCTGGGGTGTGACCTGAGCTCCTCGAGCTGCGCCCGCGTGGCCTGGGCCCCTGCAGCCCCGTGTGCAGTCCTGTCAGAGCCTGCCTGGCCTGGGTGGGCCTGGCCCGGGCCCGACTTGTGTTTCAGACGGGCTCTTTTTGAGTACGAGCCCACTGCAGCTGCACTCGTGTAGTCTGGGGGGAGTAAACGGAAGTGTCCTGAAGACACACCGGCCCGAGTGTCCCTGCGCTCGTGCATGCTCGGGCCACGCAGCCACCCGCCTCCCCGCCTCCTTGTACAGCAGCACCGGCGCAGGAGGTAGGGTTGCTGCGAGGGCAGTGGGGAGGAGCCAGGCGCTCCCATCTCTTTGCTGGCAGTTCAGGGGGAGCACTGCAGGGGGTTTGGGAAGTGTAGCGGCTGCACCCGAAGGTGCTAGACGACCTCGGGCAGGAAGCCGGCGCTCTGTGCACTCGTTGTCAGGTCCCCTTCTTCTGCTGTGGTCACCTTGGTATTTAAACTAATGAACAAGACACACAGATCGACGCTTAGGCGATATCCAGGAAAATATTCAGACCACGAAAGTGGACATGGTGCAACCGACGCCAGTCGCGTGCACAGGCAGCTGCGTCCTGGTAGCTGATCACTCACTGACGGGGCTCGTTCCCAGGAGCCTGGTTGTGCTGCCCCACAATGACTGATGGGCTGGGGCACATTTGTGAGCTGCTGCTGAGTGTCTGACAATGATCACTAATGCTGGTTCAAACCATGACTGCCCGCATAGGCGTCAGGAGGCGGGCGAGCTGTTTCCAAGGCCCTGGTCTTGACCATGATCTCCCCTCACCAGCTTCCTGGAAAAGAAGGTGCTGGACATGGAGGACAAGCACGGCGTCCAGCTGCAGTCCATCAGGGAGGAGAAAGACCAGCTGCAGGTGCTGGTGTCCAAGCAGAACTCCATCATCGAGGAGCTGGAGAAGCAGCTGGTGACGGCGACGGTGAACAACTCGGCCCTGCAGAAGCAGCAGCACGACCTGATGGAGACGGTGCGCGGCCTGCTGACCACGATGTCCGCGCCAGGCCGTGAGTGACGCCCACGTGCCTCCTTTAGCTTTCATACCGTCCTTAATTCGGTTCCAGTGGGAGTTTCAAACCCTGAAAAATCCTCATCGTTCAGCAAAAGGCCCTACTTTTCTTATCTATCAGCTATGAAAGCTTCGCAGGGTCTCAGTATAGAACAAACGAAAAAGGAGAAAGTGGAAGGAGGGGGATATATTTACACAGATGGATTACTGTGAAGCAAAGCACCCCAGACATAGTCTGGATTCATGGGCATCACAGAGCCCTACTTGGGTCACTTCTGTCATTCACTGGACATGGGGCCAGGCAAGGTAATAATGTACCAAGTGGGAAAACAATAGTAGACCCATCTGATTTTGTTCGAATGAGCTAATACTCGCAGTGCCTGGCAGAGAGCTGTGCCCTGCTCTGGCGCGCCCTCCGGTGCCCTCTGCCCTCCGGTGCCCTCTGCCCTCCCATGCCCTCTGCCCTCCGGTGCCCTCTGCCCTCCGGTGCCCTCTGCCCTCCCATGCCCTCTGCCCTCCCGTGCCCTCTGCTCTCCGGTGCTCTTTCGCCTCTCACTCCTCTTGCACCAGGGGGACAAGGGCTGCCTCTCCTGTTGCTCGCTCCTTAGAGGTGTGACAAACCACTGTTGTGGCACTTTTAAGTTCTTTCTTAAACAAATCAGGTCTAGTTCTTACTATTTCATCTGGGATTCTGTGACACAGATACACTTCATATAAGGATCTCGTTGAGACACTCGTCATTCCTTAAGACACCTGTTCTCACGCTTTCCCCAAGTCACGCAGTTATTCCAGCTTCAACAGAAACCGGCCAACAGGGTTTCTGCCAACCAGGGAAGCAAATGCACAGAACGGCAGCCTGTCCTGGTGGTGGCACGCGGCAGGTTTCATGCCGCTGGCAGTGCGCAGCACGTGCCCCCCAACTCGAGTCTCCAACTCTTACAACTTAGGAAAAGTGTACTTTTAAAACTATCACAGAAAAAGGACAGTGACCCGACGTTGTCCGGTGGGACTAAGACAGTGCCAGGTGTTGGCTTCAAGGAGCCACAGCCCAGGGACCCACGCGGCCCAGACCCTGGTGGGAGAAGCAAGTGGAGAAAGCCCCCCCCCCCCAGCAGCTGGGCCAGGCACCCGTGTGCAGGGGCCTCTGCAATGAAACACCTGCCAGGGCCTGTGTGCACACACACTATTTTTAATACAACAAGAAAAGATTGGGAAGCCTAAAAGAATTCCACAGTCCTGGAATGTTCAGACTTAGATGAAGAATTGCAAAGGCATCACATATACATGTTAGGTTCCCCTTTAACGCAAACTATTAAGGGACAGTTGCTAAAAATCCAAAGAACCCTAAACATCTTAAACCAAGAGTCTAAAGGGCCGCACACATCGTGGCCTCGGGATATGAGAGGGCAAGCACAGCCAGGGTCTGGACGGGGGACGGCGGGGGCCAAGCCACGCAGGCGCCGCTGCACTCGGTGTGTGTCTCCCTGCGGCAGCTTTGTCTGGTTCCACTCCAGCTGGAGGGTTCTAGAAGGAGGGGTTTATTGTGGCGGGTTGCGAAGTGCTGCATTCCATGCAGACCAAGGAGGTGCGCACTACTGGTGAGAGTCGCTGCCAGTGCGTACGGAGCAGGCGAGAAGAGTAACTTTTTTGGAAAGGGTAAAAAACTGACATCCTTTTGACTTACTATCAGAATTCAAATGTAACACAACTTCCCAAATGAGCGCGTGTCGAAACCCTAACCTTTCGTCTTCCCGTGAACTCCACACAAACGCTCTTCTGCCTTCCAAAGCAGCGAAGAGCGCCGCAGCAGGGAAGGAAAAACAGGCCATCTTCAGAGACTGTGCGGAAGTGTTCAAGGCCGGCCGGACCACCAGCGGCGTCTACACGCTGACCTTCCCCAACTCCACCGAGGAGGTCAAGGTAAGGGGCTGCCCGGGTCTCCCTGCGGGGCTGTGCGCTGGTCGCAGGGCCCGGATCCGCCCGTTGCACCTGTGCGCCGGGCCAGCCGGGCTCCAGGCCCCGCTGCAGGGACACTGTCCACGCTCGCGGCCCACGGTGGCACCTGCTGCCTCCGGCCCCATCACACACGCCTGGGCTTGGCTTTGGTGTGCACGCTGCCAGCTGTCCCCCATGGGGCGTCAGACTCTTTTGCAAAATCTAAAGAAAATCTTCTAACACCCCCTCCCCCTGCCCTTGATATCGCTCACTCAGCCTGCAGCTCCATGGTCTCCAGGAGCTGGTCCTCTGGTGTGTGGAGGCAGGGCCTGCCCCTCCTGCCAGCACAGACTCCGAAAGGGGTGCACCCAGCAGCTCGGGTTTAATAAAACCGCACTGACTGCTTCGTCAGGGGCAGCCGAAGTGAGCAGGTGTGACGAGAAGGCAGCCACCCAAGGGCAGTCTGAGTCTCGCCGAGCACCTCAGGTTCACACGCCTGTGCTTGTGCACCGTGTGTGCAAGCACCAATAGGGTGGGCAAGGCCAGGGGGACTTAGTGTTACTATGGAAATGGTGCCAGCCTTGTGGACTTGCTGCTGGGGACCCACAGGAGCCCGCAGACCCCAGCCCCAGGACCACGGGGCGAGCAAGACCGCTCTCTCTCCGTGGCCACTGTGGGCGCGGCCGCACACACGCCGTCAGGGGCACAGCATTGTCTCCACCAGGACGCAGCTCGAACTCCAGTGCACATACCCAGCTAGGACTGTGCAAAGTGACCCAACAAACAGAGGCTGCGTCGGGGCAGTGGGCATGCAGCCCCCCCACCCCGGGGAACAGTGTGCCTCGGAGGGGACTGAAATCGCTCCTCAGGGAGTATTTCAGCTTGGCCTTGCTTAGAGGTTCCATAAGCCAGAAGAACATCGCGAGAGAATCAGTTCTGTAAATGCTGGGGGTGCACATAATGAACAGCTGTTAACATGCTGCACCGCACTGGAGAGGCAGCTACACGGTGAACATAAACACATATGGAAAAGGCACTCGCTACTGTATCAAGAATGGAAATCCTGGAGACCCCTGGAAGTACTGTCTGATTCAGTGTCGCCTGCAGCCCAGTGATGGAGAAAACCCCTTTAAAAGTATAAGCAGTAGGGTTTAAAGACCCTGGGTTTGAAACAGTAACACAGACCTTGGTTACGAATTTAAAAGACAAATATTCTGTTAGTGAAGATAATCCTTTCCAAAGAAACCTAATTCACTCATGCTGCTTTAAATCAACCCTGAAAATTGGTTCATGTCCCTAGTGCCCCAGAGGAGACACTAGGGGAGGACAAAACCCCAAATAGCCTGCCGCAGATTAGGAGCGGCAAACAGACTTTGTGCCCAGCCTTTCAACCCCCTTTGCAGCCTGGCTGTCATGCCAGGTCTTGGGGTGCTCCTGTCTGTCACCAGATGGGGGGCTCCCCCCCGCAAGGAGATAGTGGGATGGGAGCGGCGGTGGGGAGGGGGCACAGGCTAGAAACCCAGAAGCAGTCGCCCCCTGCTGCTGTGTTCGTGTTCTGCCTGGGCCAGCATTCCCAGCTGGTGCAGGAGACCCGCCCGTGGCAGGCAAAACGTCCTGCAGGAGGAGGAGCCGTGCAGGACTCGGGGATGGCACGAGGCTCCGGTCACGGCTGGAAGCATTAGGACGCACGTCCCTTTCGAACATCTGCAGGAACAATAGCTCGCGCACACAGCAGGGAGCAACAATCTCTCACGGCTCAATCTCCCCATGGCTAAGTAAAGGGTCCAGAGTAAGTTACCCAGGTTCCCCGCCAGACGTGAGACTGTAATTCCCCACCTGACGCAGGGACAGCAGGTCACCTACGTGTGGGTGGGCATTCCAGCTCTGCAGATCAGTGCCCCTGAGCGAGCCATTCACGCTGTGTGAGCCCCAAGCTGCCTCATCTGTGATGCGACCTGACCCCTCCGGCCACACAGAGCAGAGTCCAGGTCACAGGGGAGGTGCAGCCCCCAGGGTAACAACTCACCCCCCCCCCCGTTGTTAGCACTGCGACTGCCGCACACAGGAGGAGAGGCAGGGGCCCCATGCTGCCCTGACTCAGCCAACTCAGGGAGGGAGCGTTCAGCAGACTTTGGAAAGAGCTGTCCCAAAAGGGCCTAAATAGTTCAACTTTGTTTTTGAAAACCTCTTTAGGTTTTTGTGCAAGGTGGACCCTGTGAGACAGTGTCTGTGGGCAGCGTGCACGCGTGCCTGCCAAGTGGGGACACAGTGGTCCCCTTCCCTGATTTCACGGGGCAGCTGCCTCTGAACGTTTATCTTCCTGCTGTGTTGGCTGTGCGATCGCCGTGGCCTCAGAGCTGAGCGAGAGCGAGCTCCCGGGGCCCTGCACCACATGCTGGCGCGCCAGCCCAACCACGCACAACTGCCCGGGGCCCTGGGCACCCTCTGCGGAGCCCGGCTTGGCCCAGTCTGATGTTACCTACTTGGTCACTGTCACCCAAGTAGGGGTGTCACCCAAGTATGGGGACAACGCTCTCTCGAAGTTTCACAACCCGATGAACCGTGACTCTGTACTTCGGAGTTCATAAGCGCCGTTTCTCTCTTTTCCTCTCTTTAAGTCCGGACAAAGCCATGTTAGGAAAGCGCTCTAGTGGCAGAGTAGGGAGCGGTACGGCCCCCATTGCTGGAGCGCCAGCAGACGCCCTCAGCTGCCTCAGCCCACTTTCCACAGCAGCCGAGCTGGCTCTCTTGACTTGAGCATCGAGACTTCAAGACGGTGATGCTGGCGTCCAGGGAGCATGCATCCTCGGAACAAGGACAGGCACAGCAGGAGCAGGCCAGCTCTGTCCCCCACCCCTGGCGGAGCGCCGCTTATACACACACCTCGCACTGGGGGGAGGAGCGGCACTGCACACACACACACACCTCGCACTGCGGCGGCTTGCTCAGCCAGTGCACCGAGTGGGGATTTGGACAGACGTACTGATGGACGTGAGCGGGACTGACCATTCTGGGGACCACAGGCAAAGGAGAGGAGGGTCGTCTGTGAGCTGACCACAGCTCGGGGCTGTGCTGAGGGCCTTCAGGCCTGCGAACAGAGGGTCGGGTTCCCCTTTCTGTCCGCAGGGTCTAGTAGAAAAAACGTCACGTGAGTGGGAATTAGAGCTGCTTCGAATCCTGTATTCCACTTAATAGCTAATGGCTGACTGCACTAATCTAACCTGACTGAACACGTCTGCTGCTCTCAAAAACGCCAGGCGGCAGTGCCTTCCACCCACAGTGGTGCTGATGTGAAGCAGGGCAGGAAGGGGTTACCTTACACAGACGGGTGTCATGCATCTGATGCGTTTGAGACGGGGAAGCATTTTATTCTCAGTGAAGGTAACTTTCTTTCTGATGGAACCTGTTTCCAAACACAAGGATCTCAGGGGAAGCAGTAAGGGCCCAGCGGCCCTCAGGGGAGTGGGGCCGGGTTCTCACTGCATCTCCTACTCGGGCGTGGCGAGGCGGCAGGCCAGCCCTTAGAGTGCAGGAGCGGGTCCAGGCATCCCCACCCCCCGGCCCCTTGCCCACACTCCAGGACTAACTCACAGGGCAATTCCCGTCTCAGCTTACTTGGCCTGAATGTTCGCCACGCTTACCAAAAAGACCGTGGCAAACAACAAAGGAAGTCAAGCTCTAATTGGTTTTGAACCTTAACTTTCACATGTACGACCTGGTGTGCTGTGGGGAAATTGATCTCTGCTTTCTGGAAACCGTTTTTGTTCTGCTATAATCTCATTATTTAAAACTATTTATGCAGCCTTGCTTTCAGGGGTTTTTGATTTCACGATGCACCTCCAGCTGAGCTGAAATTGAGCATGCATACTCCTAGCCCAGGAAAGAATTCTGTGTTCTGAACCAGGTTTAAACCCTGCCGGCCAGCTTGAAAGCAGAAATCCAGAGCCAGGAGGAGAAATGCTGTGGGCCCGAAGCCGGCTCTGTGGGTAGAGCTGCCAGGCCACACTCAGGTCACAGCGGGTACACAGTCCCTCCGGTCCCTTCGAATGAGGATGGGCCGAGACACCTGGTGTGTGTTCCAAACAGAGGGAGCCTGGCAGCCCCCGAGACACGCCCTGTAACAGCAGTCTGGGGACCCTGCACAGCGAGATGCCCCTCTCACATCACTCCCGCAGAGGGGGCAGGTTGCCGACTACCCTAAAGGGTCTCGGGGACGTGAACACAAACCACTGACTTCCTCTGGGTGCGGGCGAGAGGCTGGCCCGCCTGCCCAGCGAGGTGCTGTTCACAGTGAGCCTCCGAGAAACAGCGGACTCTGAGTCAGCGCCTGGGTGGGTCTCTGGCCTGAAATGGGCGATGACAAGAAAGTCCCACTTTTACCACTGTGCTGTATCACGGTTGATTTCCCATCCTCTCTTTAGAGGCCCACCCAAAGAGCCCTGTGAGCACAGGTCTTGTTCAGAGGTCTCCAGTTCCTCGTGCTTCTCCCATGCAGCACACAGACCTAAGCCACCCAGCCCACACGCAGTGACTGTACCCTTGTCCTTGGCAGGCTCACTGTGACATGGAAACGGCCGGAGGGGGGTGGACAATCATTCAGCGACGTGAAGACGGCAGTGTCGATTTTCAGAGGACTTGGAAGGAATACAAAGTGGTATGAACATTCGTTAAACCATCTGAAAATAATTTTGGTGTGTGAAAAGTAACTTTCAGGATCTGCAGAACCTTCAGCGCAAATTCAAAACCACCAATGAATCATGACAGTGTTTTTTTAACCCAAAGGTTCTTTGTGACCATGTGTCAGTCTCCCCGTTAAAGGACGGTCCTGCCACCACAGCGCCAACCTGTCTCCAGGGGAAGGCGCAGGAGCCGCGGGTGTGGCGGCCTTGGAAAGCCGCCTGCTGGTGGGGCTTCACAGGCCTCTGCCCTTGGCCCTCTGTGCTCTCGTGTCCGTGGTGGTGGTGGTGGGGGGGGGGTCCCAAGTCGTTCTAAACACTCTACCGCTAATTCTCTCCCGGGAACGGCTTGGTTTCTTAAAAACGAACCTTTTCCGGATCAATCCACATTCTCCCGTGGAGGGCCCCCAATTTTCACGGGACAGGGACAAGAATTCCTGCAGAGTATTTGGTAGCGCCCCATGCTGAGTGGTGACTACTGACTTCGAGTCCACGGAGAAAAGCAAACGAGGGACTGACTCTCACCCCATCCACAGGGCTTCGGGAACCCCGCGGGCGAGTACTGGCTGGGGAACGAGTTCGTGTCGCAGCTGACCAATCAGAAGCGCTACGCGCTGCGCATCCGCCTGGCCGACTGGGAGGGGAACGAGGCCTACGCGCTGTACGAGCAGTTCTCCCTCTCGGGCGAGGACCTCAACTACAGGTAGGGGGCGCCCTGCGGCGGAGGGCAGCGGCCCTGATGGAAAACCCCTGGTTTCTCTAGTTTTGAAAGTCTGCCTTTGGTTTTGACAATAGAAGGGGCGCCTCAGGGGGCAGCACGGCTCCGGCTGAGTGTGCCGCGCACCCTCACAGCACAGGCGAACACAGCCCGGCAGGGGGCGGGACCCACGACTCGGTGGGCGAAGTGTGCGTCCCTGTTAGAAAATGTCAAGACGGTAGCACGACACACACGCCTACCTGTTTTTTTCCCAAAAGGGTTTAACAGTGAAACCCATCTTTTTGCGGTTTAAATACCCGTGACTGTTACGTCCCACCCCAACGTCAGGCTGAGCTGCCCAGTTTGAGTGGCAGGTTCGGTGGGGCGTTTGGGGGACGGTTGGTGGGCAGCGGGGACTTCACCGTGGCTGCTCCCTTGCGGCACTTGCTACCGTTTACCTTGCCCACCAGCAGGTGGCGCTAATCGTGACTGTCCCAAAGAAAGCAGGGGCCACCTGGGCCCGGAATGTACTTTCTGGCCCTAAAACGCCCTGGTAGTAGAGACAGCGCGACAAAGGGCCCGAGAGCCCGGGCCTTGATCATCTGCACCTACGGGCGAGGCCCGCACAGAAGAGGCTCTTAGGGGTGTGCGGTTCCACAAGGAGAAACTGGGCCACGCAGGTGCCCGGGTGGGGGCGGGGCCCCACAGGAGCTGCTCTGAGAAGGCCCCACCCCCGGGGTCCAGCCACCAGCGAGCCCCGCAGGAGTCCAAGGAGCAGGCCAGCACTGCGTGCTGACCCCCAGCACCTACCGTGCGGTCAGAAACAGGCCAAGGGCCGTTGAAGGTCACAGAAGACTGCTTCCCCCTGGCCTGCTGCCACCAGCGTCTCACGGATGCCCACCTGGGACCCTCTGCCCAACAGAAGACCCGAGCCCTGCGGACACAAACGCCATCTCCAGACCCGGGTCTGGGCTGGCTTCCCGGGGAGGGCATGGTGACAGTTCCGGAAACGGCTGAGCTCGGCCCGCCGGGCAGCGCCCCCCCCCCCCCAACTGCAGCGTCCAGCACGTCTGCCCTGATCTGCAGGGCGGACCAGAATGCAGACGCGTGCTCTGAAAACAGAGCAGCTATGTCCAACAGGCGCGGTGCGCGGCTGCTGAGCGTCAGCGGGCAGCACCGTCCCCCTGCAGCACAGGCACGGCTCCCGGAGAGGCCGCAGGGGATGGCGACAGGGCAGGTGTCCGGCCCCAGGCAGCACCGAGGACGCTCCAGAGAGATCGACACTGCGGAGGACTCTTAGACACAAGCGCCAGCCATTGTTTCACCTCCAAACTAAATATTTTTTCAATTGGCAACAGGAAACTACAACAGAGGAATTTAAAAAAAAAAGAAACAAAAATTAAGGATTAGACTGTTTATATATGAAGATTTTACAAAATGGGTCATTACCCTCACATGCTGACATTATAAAAATATTCTAATCTGAGATAGTTCTTAGATATTTCCTTTAGAAAAGTAAATCAACTTTGGGATCTGCCATTTCATCAGCACATGTGTTTAAAGCTCAGTTTAATTTACTTGGCAGTGTAAGACAGTCATTACATTGAGAATTATGCTAATAAAACATGCCAGTGTGATAGGAGAACCATAATGTGACTGAAACTCAGAACAACTACAAATGGTCCCATTACAAGTGGAATGTCTACCGAATTCAGCAGCTGGACTCTTTTCCTAAAGAAACAGCCCCAAATGTTGGGAAACTGAAAAATACATCAGTAGAATATGGTTCTTTTTACTAAACTAAAAACAATTTGTACATTAAACTTAAAAAACTGGCCCCTCCTCACTTTAACTCTGACTTCACTCCCCTGTTCTACAACAGAGCTGATTCCAGGTTAGAGCAGTTTCAAGAATGTGGCTGTTGGCGATAACCAAATTTTAAATGAGCAACTTGAAGCCAACGGGCCACGCGTTGTCAGTCTAACGGAGACTAATAAGTAGTATCCTCCTCATTTGTGCACCGCTGGGGGAACTGAATGAGGCCCAGGAGAGCTGCAGTGGCTGGAGTCTGGAGGAGGAAGGAAGGGACTGTCCCTGAAGGGCCCCCTGAGGCCGGAGAGGGGCCTGGAAGGAAACAGCCTCCGAAGCCCCGAGGGCAGGAGAGCCCGCTTGCGGCGGACCCTTTGCAGCAGGGACCGGGCCAGGGGCGTTTCTGATGCGTGAGGCAGACACTGATGTCGGACACTCAGTCCACACTTCATGATGGAGTTCGCAGAGCGACCATGGGAAAACCTCTACAGATCCAAGTCTGTGACCCCAGAGGGACTCAGGGTCTGCGCTCCAGGGAATGCCACCTGGTGGCTCCTGCTTCCACCTCCCAGAACCTCTTCCTCAATTATCAGTCACCCCCGAGTGCGTCTGCCAGGCAGGATCCCAGTGGAGGATGGAGGGGTGAGGGCCAACCTGACAAGACCCCTTACAGGAGGGACCTGGGCCAGTTCCTGCCTCTGAACTCCACCATCTGACATGTATAAATGGGCAGCGTGGCCCTGAGAGCTGGCATGGGCGCTGCGTCCATGTGCCTTTGGGGCTGGGGAGGGTCAGTCCCTCCTCCCAAGGGGCTAGTGCACAGAGGCGGGAGTTCCAGAGACGAGCATCGTCTGGGGGCTGATGCAAGACTCTCCCTCTGACGCCGTAGGGCGTGGTCCCGTGGGAACCCCAGGACAGGCAGACCCGACGCGCCCTGGGCTCCCACACCCCCCGCACCCACCTGGGAATGCCGAGCTTAGCACAGCAACACAGGTCCCGTGGGGCCCTGCTCTGCGCTGTCCCGGCCCCCGCTGCCCGGGGCTCCCTCCCTGGAAGCACGGTTGCCACACCAACGCCCCCCCCCATCGGCAGTGCCTGCCGCACGTCTGCATGCCTCAGGAAGTGCGTGCTGTCACAAGTGCCTAACACGACAGGACCCCACGGTCCCTCCCAGGGCCTGGCAGGCGTGTCACAACCCTGTGCAGACAGACACCAGGCAGGGCAGCCAGAGGGGCTTCTCTCTGCCTCGACTGGGCAGATCTGCATTGCCAAGTTCAATGGCCGTTCCGTGGTACCCGCCAGCGCCCCCCCCCACTGGAAACCGCGGTGTTTGAGGCTGCCCAGTCTCCCCGAGGCCCTCGTTTCTCTCTGGGTGACCCTGCAGACCTGCAGAGAGGACCCCCGTGCCACGGCCCCCCTTCCTGTTTATGTCACAGCGGCAGGAAAACAAACCACAGTGCCCTGAAGTCCCTGCCGGTGCTGTGTAAGTGACAGCCGTTGACGGTTTCATGAAAACAGCCCTCCCTGCCGAAGGGTTTGATGATAAGCTGGTTCCTGTTTGTACCGGCGCAGAAATATTTGGTCCGGCATGTGCCTTAGTGCACCGGGCAGCCCAGAGCGCCTTTTGCTAGAACGGAACGCCCTACGAAAAGTTTCCACCGCAGTGGGTCAGCAGCCCAAGCCCATTAACGCTGTGTTTTCTCCCCCTTGGCACGCCTGCAGGATTCGCCTCCGAGGGCTCACGGGGACCGCCGGCAAAATCAGCAGCATAAGCCAGCCTGGAAACGACTTCAGCACCAGGGACGCAGACAGGGACAAGTGTGTCTGCAAGTGCTCGCAGATGCTCACCGGAGGTGGGGCGGCCGCGGGCACTCTTCCTATCCGTGCTGGCGGGGGGCTGTTCGCAGTGTGGGGGGGCGCTGGCCCAGGGGACTCCTGCCCATGGCTGGTGACTGTGCCCACACCCCACAGACAGATGGGCCCGCCTGCTACGGGGAGCTTCCCCTCTCCGACTGCTGAGCCTCAGGCGGGCGCTGTCTGCCCGCTGGCTGTGTTGGTCCAGGACTCGCCCCAGCGGGGAGTGGGCCCGGGGTGCTGGCCACGTGCGCTGCTCCATTAAAAAGGCCAGCTACCCACAAGGGCAATCCAGAGAGCAGCAGAGAGTGGTTACTATAGAAACGCTTCCAAACAATAGTGTACTGTTCAACCAAGGAATTTTCAGGTACGGTTTTTTTAAGGATTTCATCACTGAAATCCTTTATATAGCAGATACGTACAAACACGAAGCAAGCAGTGGATTACCCTGCCTTTCTCTTGCCCGAACTGCGAGGAGCCGTCCAGGTTGTGAGAAGGCCTCCCTCTCGGGCTCTCCGTGCTCCCACCCTTCCTATCGGACCGCTGCGCAGAAAAAGGGAGCCCCGCCTCCAAGGCAGCAGCCCTGTGACAGTCACACCAGGTGGCCAGACTCCCTTGGGAGCTCCAAGGAGTTCAAGTGGGGGGGGGGGCAGCTGCTAGAAAACGTCTTCTGATTCCATCAGGTTTACATTGAGTAAACAGAGCGAGTGAATAGTAACTGAGAGCAGAAAATGCTGTCAGGTTAATTCTTAAAAACACGGCGAGGGTCAGGACACAGGGCATGGGGGTGGGGTGGGGGTGGGGACCACGGAGGACATGCGCTGGGCTCCCCGGGTGCTGCGCAGGACCTGGAGTTAATGCTGAAAGAACCGCCTGCCTTACAAAAATCAGCCCCATGTTCCTTAGATGGTGCATTTATGTACATGCATAAATTTAAGTTGGAAACACAGGTCGCCCCTGTTAGCCACAGTCACTTCTGCACCCTGCCAGCGAGAGAACGCTCTCACCCTGAGGTCTGAGGGCTGCTTGGCGCCCCCGTTCCGCAGTAATAATCCTCGTTAAAGCCCACAAAGCAGGGAGGGCGAGGGCCGGGGGCAGGCCCTCCCAATCCTTTCAGGTTCCCACACTGAACCGGCTGCCTGCTGCAGAGTAGAAGCGTAGAAGCGCAGTAACAACCACGGAAACAAAGTATTTGTTGCTCCCATCAAGATGTAGGGCTGCGGGGGGAGTGGAAAAAGAGGTGCAACGGAAGGGAGAAACGGGCGGTTCTGACAGCACGGCCTGCGTCCAGCCTGAGGACTAGGTCACGGACACACTGGCCTGACGGCCGGCCGGGTGGTTTTGAGGACAGTGAGCTCAGAGTTCAGCCAGACGACAGGCTCAGGAGGGTCGGATCTATAAACCCGAGATATTTCTGAGTGTCTTGAAGGGCTCTGAATAAAACACATGGCTTGTCAAATGGACCTGAATCCGAACCAATTCAAGTCACGGAGCTGTCACTGTCAGGGGCGGGCACCTGGAGGAAGTGACTGGTGTCCACAGTCTAAGGGATGAGTAAGGGAGCATAATGTACCTGCTGCCTCAGAATCCTTTTTAAAGAAATAAAACACCCGGATACAACTAAAGCCCCTCTGCCAGGACCTCCCTGCACAAACCACTGGATCGAGGGGCATTCACGTCATTTAGTGACCCTGCTACGTAGGAAATGTCAGTGATAGTTCTGTGACCGTGTTCTGCGTTTTACTCATTTTATGTAAATGGCACCATCCTGTATGTGTCCTTCCAACTCAGTGTTCCGGGACTTACGCAGATCAGCGTGTGCAAACCCCCCCCATCCACGGTCGCTGTGGTTTCCACCTGGGGGGGGGAGGTGGGTGTGGGCCTGGCGCCTACCCCCCCCATGCCCTGGCTTTACCTCAGTGAGTGCACCACCATGGCTCCCAACAGCCTTTCTGTCTTTTCTCAAGCAGCACTGGGTACTTAAAACTCAGGGTTATATTTTAAACAGAAGAATGTCTTCGGTGGGTGGAGGAAAGGCTGGGTCAGTCCAGGTCAGGTCAGTGGGTTGCTGGGCCTGGACGGGTCTCCTGGCCCAGAGAGCCACGCTCAAGGCCTGGGCTTTGACACCGTCTGCTCCACCCCAGAGCCCCGCCAGCTCAGCAGCACGGGGGTGGTCTCCTACCCCTGGGGTCGCCGCTGGCCCTTCCACAGGGCGCGGGCACAGCCTTCCCTCTCGCTGGGCCCCGCAGCACCCGCTCCCCCCAGGAACACCTGCACGCACTGAAATGCACGGAATGCGGCGCATGGGCAAGCCAAGGGCCTCCACCTCGGGGCGGGGGGGGGCGACCCGGTCCCTGATTCCATCTGTTTTACTTCCACAGGCTGGTGGTTCGACGCATGCGGTCCTTCCAACCTGAACGGAATGTACTACCCCCAGCGGCAGAACACTAACAGGTTCAACGGCATCAAGTGGTACTACTGGAAGGGGTCAGGCTACTCGCTCAAGGCCACGGCCATGATGGTCCGGCCCTCAGACTTCTGAAGGCCTGCACAGGCCAGGGCCAGCTGCTTGACTGCCCGAGACTCAGACCCAGAGCTCTGATGACACAGCTGCGCCGTCACCTCTGCCGCCTCAGAGGGGCGCTTGCCCGCGGGGGCTCCAAAGCAGAGCCCCGAGACCCCACCACGGGCACCTGCTCCACTTGATGAGCCGCAGTGCACCCAAGAACCGTCACCCCGTGGCCTGGCGGACGGCTCTGCAAAGACACTTGGAGCTCACGGGGAGCACTGCCGGCTCGCAGACCGGGCTGTCACTCCAGGAGTGCCCTGTGCGAGCTCCTCAGTAGTACTGGAAACCAGACGCTGGGCCTCGGGGCAGAGAGAGGCTTGGGCTGCATTCTTCTAGGCACTGTTTGTGGACTGTGTAAACACCCACGCGCCCTCAGTGCGCCCGCTCTCCCAATTAAAGGGCAGAAAACAAACGCGTGGCACCTTCAGGGAGGGTCCGAGAAGAGCTTGTCAGTGGCTCACTTTCTGGGAAAGGAAAGACACAGTTCACGCATTTCTGCTCTCCTTTGGTCTTTGGATTTTCATCCCGAACACAGTGTACTTACGTCTGTTTTGCCGGCATAGCTCTAAGTTAATGCTCAAACACAGGTGTCAAGTTCGCGCAGCAGGGGCTCCCGTACCTCCCAAGGACGTATTCTTTCTCTCCTGTAAAGACCATGCTATCGGTTTGGTTTGCTGCCTGGCTGTTAAATACGAAGGTATTTTTAGAGGGTAAATATAACTTATGAGGTGAGATGAGTACATTTAACTGTTTTGAAAATATTTACTATTTAACTTTTTTGAAAACACTTGAAATATTTTGAAAATAGTAATTTGATTCCAAAACGACTGATGTGTCTGGTGACATGGAACAGTCTCCCTTTCAACGATGAGGGAAATTACACATTTAATCTGGTGACGAAGAGGCTTCGCTGTCTGTCACTCGCTGCTCGGACACAGAGGTCTCGCTCTCCTCGGGCGAGATGTGTCCTGGAGGGGGCCCTGCTCGGTGCCCGGCTGGGCAAACCCTGCCGTTCAAGGCCTGTGCGAAGCTCATCTCCTTGAGTCAGACTGTACTCTGAAGTCACTTTAGGAAAAAAATTTACATTGTTAAGATTACAAAAAAAATGTCTACCAGAAGACGTTTTAAGGGGTGTTGTGAAGTGCAAAGCCAGTGCCCAGTGCCCACAGTGTGCACACACGTGCACAGCCTCGGGAGAGGGCGGGGGCTGAGCTTGGGGTCTGCCCGGCGCCACCGTGGCGCCGGCCGGGTCGGCTCAGAATCTGGGGGTGACGTCTCAACCCACCGCTTTCCACTCGGCTGCCAGGCAGCTCAGGGCCGAATCTGCGGCCAGCACGAGCTGCACGCCCGTCTTCATCCACACTCCCCTGCCACAGCCGTGCCCTCTGTCCACTGTCTTCTCTGGCCTCTGTGACCTGCACAGGCCCCACCCGCCACGGCTACACCCAGTGTGAGGACGCCCCACAGCGTCCCGCGCAGACTCGTCCGCGGGCTCCGGACGCGGCGGGCGCTCTCCCTGCCCTGCTGTGTTGCATTCTCAGCAAGCACGCAGACTGAGTCGAGGCCACCACCCAGATCACATCTAAGGGCCCTGTATTCCACAGAGGGGTCAGCTTTGCACCAACTGCAAACCATCCCACGGTGAGAAAACACCAGCGGCTGAAAGGCAACAGCAAGTTTCCATGGTCCCTTGACGAGCCCAGGGCAGACACACTCCAGAAAGAGATGACCCAGGACCAGCTGTCAGGGTCCCCAGTCCTGCCCCTGGCCCCTTGTGGGCAGGCTGGGCGCCTGTCCGCGGTGACGCGCCCCCTGGTGTCCAAAACGACACACGCGCTCGTCCGACAGAACGGGGTCTGCGGGCTCACTGTGCCGCAGTGCCTACCAGGGTCTCAGAGGAACTCCTCTCCCCTTAAGAAAGCATCTACAGAGCTGACCGGAATTCAAAGCGGCGATCTGAAAAATGAAAACGAAACAACCCAGCAACCTTGAACACCACAGTGCCTCGGGGCAGAGCCGACTCCTTCTCACCCGAGGACCCAGTGCCACAGCCAAACAGCCAAAACACAGCGCGAGAGCACAGACGAGTCTCTGCTTGTCGCCCAGGCGCTAGTCTCTTAAATAAACAGCCTGTCCCGAACCCGGTGACGTGTCTGAAAAGGAAAGCCGGCTTCTGCTCAGTCCAGCTTCCAAGTAAACCTGAAATTACTGACTAGACTATTCCTCAATCTTCAAAACAAGTTAGAACGTGGGACTTCTCCATGAGCATCTGGAAGACTCAGAGTGAAGCGGAGGCGGGTTTAGGAAAAGCACCGAAGCCCCACGTCCACGGGCGGCGCCGGCTCTGCACCCGCCGCTTCTCCCTCGACTGGCAGCCATGGTGTTCTCTCTCTCAGGCTGCGAGCGAGACGCGGCGCTACCTCCTCCGGCATCTGGGCTTCTCTGTTCCTGTTTCCCTCGGTCCCGAGCACTTCTCTAGTGAAAATGTTTTGAGAATGCATCCCTCCCAACTTTCCGCAGAACATTCTCACTTTTGTTCTCACAAATACACAGAAAACGAGTGCGAGGTTTGGCTAATGCGTCTTCTTAGTCAATAAACTCTCGAACCTGTAGCTGCGCTGACAATGACTCCTAGAGAACACCAAACCCTACGTCCCATCACAACACAGCGTCTGACTCACCGGAGCTGCAGGGAAGGAGGCGGAGAGTTCGAACGGCTCCTCAGAAATCCAGTGACCCAGTTCCAGTGACCACAGCGCCTGCAGCGACACAAAAGCACGACACTTTAGATGTTCACTAGGCACTTCGGTGGGTAACGAGCCACGTGGGGGAGAAAGCAAAAGCAAAACAAACGAGACCACGGGCAGTGGGCCCACGCCCCGGGGGCCTGCAAGGGAAGCTGGGACGGCAAAGGGCCCCGGGGTCTTCAGGCGGTGGGAGTGGTGCGAGGCCGGGTCTAGAAGTCGGGGTTGTCACTGGAGGCCGATCGCTGGACCACGCCCTGTTTCCGCACGTGCGAAAGCCGTATCTGCTTTTTAATTCCAGGTTTCGCATGTACAGAGTCAGTACGGACCAGGGGTGTCGAACTCATTTTCACCAGGGGCCACGTCAGTCTCCCAGTTGTCATCGAAGGGCCGAAGATAATTTTAGGACTGTATAAATGCAACTACTCGTTAACAGTTAAGGGAGGGGGCGGTGCTGCTGCCAGGTAGAAACAAGGTGGGATTTGGCCCTCGGGCCTTGTGTTTGCCGCCTGTGCTCTAGACGATGCTCAGTAAATATTCCAGTCTTATTACTTAACAAAAAAACATACATTAAGAGAAGAGAAACCGTAGCCTACGTTCCAAAAGCAACGCCCTCGTGTGCCTGTTTCTGCTCCAGCCTCCATCTTTAGAAGGGCTCCGCAGCCCGGTGAGAGTCCCCCCGAGAATTCTGGGGAGCAGGTGTCTCATGAACAAGCATCTCTCCCCGCAGGCTTCCTCCTCGTGTTACTAACTGAACCCACGTGTTTAAATGATCGAACGACGTTTCCGCTTTAACTCAACAGTGCTGGAGATGCGGCAGCGTCTCCGCTCTCTGACCAGACCCTCAGGGCCTGTAGGTTTTTGTGCCCCGGTGGAATTTGGAAGGGAAACAGCAGCCGCAAGCCCCCGGCTCCCCTTCATCTGGAACCGCGCTCCTCACACTCGGCGGGCTCGCTCTTTCCTCCTAGAGTTGCGACAGGAAGCTTCCGTTCTTCTTGCTGAATGACGACTGGAAATAAGGCTGAAGTCTTCCTTTTTGCTCGTTTCTAAGGTTCAGAGCCACCTATGGGGAACCAGTCACAGGAGCTCCCTTTTTAATACATTAGAGCCAGGTTGTGTCTGACACGACCCTTGGTTTCTCAGGAGAAGTGCGCGCGGCGGGGGATGCAGGCGAGAGCAGGACACAGCCCCCCGCGCGGCTGCCCGGCACTGGCTGGGCTCCCGACTCCCTTATTTACTCAGCGTCTCCTCCCTTCTGCTCACTCTCCGCTCCTCTGCCACCACGCATCCGATCCCAGGCCGGGTCCTGGAAACGGACCCAGGCCCAGAGGAGTCCGGCCCCGAGGGAGGCACGAAGGCCAACCACAAACGGCAGGAAGCCGCAGGAGAAGCCGGCTGACTCAGTGCGGAAAGGCTAGGAAGGGTCCGCCGGCGAGCTGGCGTTTCAACCCGGTCCTCAGGGACGCGTGGGAGCTCCCCGGGCAGAGAGAGGGGCAGCGGGCAGGGAGAGGGCTCAGAGGGCACAGAGTCCCACAGGCCAAGACTGGATTCCGGCGGGTTCCTTTTTTGGCTTGAGCAGAGGGTGCTCTGGATAAAGCGGGGGGTGGGGGGGAAATGGGGCTGGCGGGACCCATCTGGTGAGGGCCAGCAGAAGCCCTGTTTCTGCCCTGTGTGCTCAGGGCATGAGCGCGGGGCCGGAGGACTGCTGGGCAGGAGCCTCAGAAGACCAGCCAGGGAAGGAGGGACAAGGAGCTCCCGGGACTCGGGGCCCAAGGTGACACAATGGGACCAGTGTGACACGGGAAAATCTGTCTCCACCAGACAGAGGGACGGGGGAGAGAGAGGGAGAGAGAGAGCTTGGGAAAGAGAGGGGAGAGGGGACCAGCTGTGCTCTCAGGGACCCGTCGACCCCTCGGCCGGATCGGTGTGTGCACACCTGGTGTTCGACACCTGGCAGCTACGCTGAAGCCGTGTTTCTGCTCGGCCCTGTCTGGGCGGCTGAGCACATTCACATAAGTGCTTCCCTGACTGTTCTCGGTCAAGGTGCATCATCATTTACCGAGAAACACAAGTAGGACACGTGGTTTCCTACAAGCACACACGGTTAGCCCAGGAAATAAAACACAAAATTCCAAACCAGGTCGACGTCACCTCGGGCACGGGGCAGCGTGACAGGGTGGGACGGAGACACGCTGTCCCAGGGACTGAGTCCGAGAGCCACTCCTAAGTATGTGTGGCATTTGGGTTCTAATATAACCCCCATCAAAACGTCAACTGAATTTAAACGTCTTGGAGAAACTTCATGTTCTCTGTGTTTGTCCATCTTTAAATGTTATGAAAATAAAACTAACATCAACAGACTTTTAGTTAGTGAATCATATTCCATTTCTCTAGAAACCCAGGGTGAACGTTGTGCAGAGGTAACAGAAAACGCAAATTTGATTGTAAGGATCAAATCAGAAACATATTAGGGAAAAAGGGGGAAACTACTTCACTAGCCACTGATCTGTCTTTAGGAGAGTATTCAGATCAACGGCTGTGACCTTAAAAATAAAGAGTTAACCCAACATATTTCCCATAACATGTGTGACAGAAAAACGAACAGAGAAGCTAAACACAGCAAGGAACGGGGCTGAAGGAACCCAGAGGGTCCCATCCCGTGTCTCGTGAGGGCTGGGTCACTTCCGCAGGCCCCACCAACAGATGTGGTGTTTCTGACGCTTTACAACGGTCACGTGTGAAACGTGAACCTTGGCGAACCCAGGCAGGCACCGTTTTCTGGCCTTGCCTTTGGATCGGTAGCCATGAAGAGACAGGGTCCCACTACACGGGGCCCCCCGCAGTCCCATGCAGGTCCCACTACACGGGGGCCCCCCCGCAATCCTGTGCAGGTCCCACTACACGGGGCCCCCCCGCAATCCTGTGCAGGTCCCACTACACGGGGGCCCCCCCGCAGTCCTGTGCAGGTCCCACTACACGGGGCCCCCCCGCAGTCCTGTGCAGGTCCCACTACACGGGGCCCCCCCCCGCAGTCCTGTGCAGGTCCCACTACACGGGGCCCCCCCCGCAGTCCTGTGCAGGTCCCACTACACGGGGCCCCCCCGCAGTCCCATGCAGGTCCCACTACATGGGGCCCCCCGCGGTCCGGTACAGACCCGCATGTACACACAGTCTGCTCACTGTACGCCCATCGGCCCCCTGACCCAATGCTCGACTAGAGTGAATGGGGAGAGAACCCGTACAGGTGAGACGTGATGGCAGTTGTGGAAGTTGCCATGAAGATGGGTCCGTGGTAACTGAAAGGGTGAAAGGGCAGAGAAAAGCTCAGATCTAAGTGTGTGGAGAAGGAAGTCGACAGAAGGGGTTCGCTGACCTGCTCGGATTCCCAGGAACAGAGAAAGGGGTGGCACAGGTATGTCTGAAAATGGGGTGTAGAGCAGGGTGAGAGGGCCCACTCTCCTCTGGAACAGGACCAAGTGCAAGAGGACAGGCGTGTCTGGGAGCAGCGGCGAGCAGTGCAGGAAGGACCTCTCGCCCAGCCTGGCCTGGCCCCCCGCCCTGCACCCCACCAGGACCTCAGTGCTCGGGCCTGGGGACCGTGGTCAGCCCAGGAGGGGAAACACATGCAAACCCCAACACGTGGCCCTCCGTCCATCGAAAGCCCACCCCAGGACGCTATCTGTACTCCACTCAGGCCAGCCGTGACGACCGGCTTTTCGGTGCCTCACTCTGCACGCGACTCTGCGCCATTGCATGACGTCTGAAATGAAAGCATGGGCCACGCCACACGGAAGGGGCTCCTGGCTTCGCTCTGATGACACGGCTCAGGGTGACGGTGGCTCTGCAGACCCAGAGGGAGCGAGCCTCCGGGGCGGGACAACTAGGGGCTCCCGGGCGGTGCCACCAAGGAAAATAAATGGGATTAGGAGATTATGTGATGTGTAGACAGAGTTGAGAGAATTCTAATGCTTTAAGGATTCCTTGTAGTGAACTCGTGACAGGCACATAGAAGCAGAAGCAATCAAAATTATTACAAAGAACAAACCAAAATTATGAGAAAGGAAACAGAACCACAGCACATCACATGGCTCGGCTCAGAAAGCGATCACATGATCACCCATGTGTGAGCTTGTGCACGTGGTCACACATGTTCACAGACGCACACAAAACTTTAAACAAAAATCATAGCCACACTGGGTAGATCAGAAAGGGGAGGTGGCAGTACCAGTAAAAGCCAGGTAGTCATAACTTAATCTTTATAGAAGTCTACAGATAATGTCTAAAAGCAAAAAATCAAAAACTGGCAGGAACGGCAGTTTATTTAGAAATATGTAGGTAAACTATCAGAAGGCTATTTTAAGAGTGGGAATCGGGTTGAGAAACAACAAGGCATTTTTTCTCCTAAGCCTCATAAATTTCCTTGGTTTTTTTAGACATTCCATTTCAGAGAATCTGAGACTTGCGCAGGAGTGGCCCGATGGGTCCGGAGAGTTCCCATCCTCCCGTCACCCAGACCCTCTGCTCTGTCGAGTCTCCGACGTGGCTCTCAGGTTTCACACGTGCTCTGCCAACGGGGCCCGCTTGCCCAGAGCTACCCACAGACATCGTGCTGGCCTTGGAACGAGAACTGAGTTGAAGCTGTAGCTCACGATGGGCAGAACCGACAGCTTACAGACTGTCTCCCAACTTGTCAACACAGTATCCCTCCCCTCTGATTTGAGTCTTACTAGATTTCTTTCATAAGGGTTTTACAGTGTTCAGCAAACGGATCCTGCAAATATTTGGCCCTATTTAAATGTCAATATTTCCATTTCTGGGAGTGTAAAATGGGATTCTAAAAGAATCAGAATACTAGTTGTTCCATCACTGCTACTGCCCAGAAATACAGCTGCATTTTGCACACTGACCTTGTGTCTTGTCACACCGCTGAGCTTCTCTGCACACCCGTTGGTGTCTTCCACGCAACTGTGCTTCCTGGGAGTAGCGGTTTTATTTCTTCCTTTCTCTACCTGGAG